GTGTACACACATACCACATCTTCTTTATCCGTGCATTCGTTAATGGACACCTAGATTGTTTCCATATCTCGATTACTGTGAATAATGCTGCAGTAAACATGGGAGTGCAGATACCACTTTGATACCCTGTTTTCATTTTCTTTGGATAAATACCCAGAAGTGGGATTGCTAGATCACAAAGTAGTTCTATTTTTAATTTTGGGGGGAACCTTCCATACTGTTTCCATAATGGCAGTACCAACTGACATTCCTACAACTAGTGCCCAGGGTTTCCCTTTTCTCTGCATCCACACCAACACTTGTTATCTCTTCTCTTTTTGATGATAGCAATTCTAACAGATAATGAGATGATATCTCATTGTGATTTTGGTTTCCATTTCTCTGATGATTAGTGATGTTGAGTGATGTCAAGCACTTTTTCTTGGATCTGTTGGCCATTTGTATGTCTTCTTCAGAAAAATGTCTATTCAGCTCCTCTGCCTATTTTTCAATCGGATTGTTTATTTATATATTTTTCTGCTGTTGAGTTGTATAAGTTGTTTATAGATTTTGGTTATTAACCCCTTATCAGATATATGGTTTGCAAATATTTTCTCCCATTCCATAGGTTGCCTTTTCATTTGTTGACGGTTTCCTTTTCTGTATAGAAGCTTTTAGTTTGATGTGGTCCCATTTGTTTGTGTTTGTTTTTCTCTTTTCTTCCCTTTGTTTTGGTGTTGAATCTCAAAAGTCATTGCCAAGATTGATGTCAAGGAGTTTACCCACTATGTTTTCTTCTAGCAGTTTTACAGTTTCAGGTTTTACATTCAAGTCTTTAATCCATTTTGAGTTGGTTTTTGTGTGTGGTATAAGATAGGGGTCCAGTTTCATTCTTTTGGGTTTGGCTGACCAGTTTTCTCGACACTGTTTATTGAAGAGACTGTGCTTTCTCCATTGTATATTCTTGGCTCCTTTGTCATAAATTAATTGACTGTATATTTATGGATTTATTTCTGGGCTATCTATTCTGTTCCATTGATCTATATGCCTGTGTTTATGCCACTACCATACTGTTTTGATTACTGTAGATTTGTAATGTATTTTGAAATCAGGAAGTGTGATGCCTCTAGCTCTGTTCTTTCTCAAGATTGCTTTGGCTATTTGGGGTCTTATGTGGTTCCATACAAATTTTAGGGTTGTTTGTTCTATTTAAGTGAAAAATGCCATTGCAATTTTGATAGGGATTACATTGAATCTATAGATCTCTTTGGGTAGTATGGACATTTTAACAATGTTAATTCTTTCAGTCCATGAGCACAGAATATCTCTCTGTCTGTTTGTGGCTTCTTCAATTTCTTTCATCAGCGTCTTACAGTTTTCAGTGTATAGGTGTTTCACCTCCTTGGTTAAATTTATTCCTAGGTGTTTTATTCTTTTTGGTGCAATTGTAAATGGGATTGTTTTTGTAATTCCTGATAGTTCATTATTAGTGTATAGGTATGAAACTGATTTTTGTATATTGATTTTGTATTTTGCAACTGTACTGAATTCATTTATTGTTTCTAACAGTGTTTTGGTGGAGTCTTTAGGGTTTTCTGTATATAATCTCATGTCATCTGTAAGTAGTGACAGTTTTACTTTTTCCTTTCTGACTTGAATGCCTTTTATTTCTTTTTCTTGCCTGATTGCTCTGGCTAAGACTTCCAGTACTATTTTGAATAAGAATGATGAGAAGGGGCATCCTTGTCTTCTTACTGATCTCAGAGGAAAAAGTTTCAGCTTTTCACTGTTGAGCATGAAGTTAGCTGTGGGCTTGTCATATGTAGCCTTTATTATCTTGAGGTATGTTCCCTCTATACCCAGTTTGTTGAGAGTTTTTATGATATTTTCTTTCTCAATACTTAAATTTACTTTTTTTCTTATAAATGTATATGTCTATAAATATCCCTTGAAGTGCTATTTTAGCTGCATCCTATAAGTTGGTTATTTTTTATTTTAGTTGTTTTAAGTATAATTTCCATTATAATTTTTTTGACCAAAGGATTTGGTCAATTTTTAATTTTCAAACTTATTCAGAGCTTTTGTTATTGTTCTAATTAGTGAATGTGGCCTACATAATAATAGTTTGTGGAAATTTGTTGAGAAATGGCCTAGAATTGGTCAGTATTCCAATAATTGGGCTCTGTATTCGTTACATTATGCTTGTTAATGGTAGTGTTCTAATATTCTATATCCTTTCTCATTTTTCCCTGTTTCACATTTTTAATTGTTGAGATGATGTATTAAATTCTTTCACTATGATATTTGATTTGTCAGGTTTTCCCTATGGTACTTTTAATTTTTGCATTGTGTTTTTTGAAGCTAACTTATTAAACGCATACAAGTTTAGAATTCTTAAATTTTCCTGATGTAATGGATTTTTTATCAATATGTACTAACCATAAATATTTAGTAAATTTTTTATTCCTTGATGTCCATTGTGTCTGATCTTAATAGAGTCCCACCAGTTTTCTTCAGGTTAATATTTTTCTATTATAATTTTGTCTTTTTTTAAAAACCATATTTCCTCTGTTCTGATATGGCTTCCATTGTAAATGCATCTCAATTCAGAGAAAATGGTTTGACAGCAATAGTAAGATGTACTCAATTGTAAGCTGTTCCTTGATTTCAGATGTGTTAATATGTGAAAAAATGTAATGGCAGGAATTTATGAGAGTGCTTCCAGCCTTTTGTGTCCTTATGTTTTTAAGTATATCTTTTTAAAATAGTACTTAACTGGAATTTTAAAAATCTAGTCTAGAAAGGCTTTGTCTTTTAAGTGATGTGCTTAACTTATTTACTGATATGTTTGGCTTGATATCTACTATTGTTCTTTTTGCTTTCTATTTGTCCTACTTTTTGCATTTCTTTTTCTGCTATTTCTATCTTCTTTTTTATTTTTTTTTTTTTGGATTGATTTTTCCTTTCCTTCCTGATTTTCTTCCTCTCCTAGTTTACAAGTTACATACTATACTTCTCTTCTCTTACTGGTACTCCATTAATTTTAATATGCATATTTAAAATTTAACAAAATCTAAAGTTAATATCTTTACCACCTATCCAAATAAATGAGGACCTTGTATTAACTCTAGTAATTTCATGCTTGACATATGCTATTACTGTCCAGAATTTTAGGTCTGTCATTGATTTAATTAAAATTCCATGAAATAGGCCTCATTGTTAGTGGTTCATACTCTCAACATTTGTTTAGGTTTTCCCATAAGTTTACCATTTTCTTTGCTCATTGTTCCTTATTGGATCATTCCTTTTTTTTCCTGAACTATGATCATTGGAAGTTCTTCTAGTCAGAATTTGTTGGTACATCTCTCAGGTTGTAGTTTTCTGAATACAGTTATATGCTTATATTGCCCTCTTTCTGTGAAGATAATTTTGTTGGATATGCTATCTTAGTATTAGCAGTTATTTTTCCTTAGCATTTTGAAATCTTTAATAAATATTATAATTTCTTCTTATCTCATCTTATATTTTACTTGTTCCCTCTTCAGTTACATCTGCTTTTTAGCTCATCCATTTAATTTTTAATTTCAAATATTATTTTTTTAGATGTTCTATTTGTCTTTTTCAAGGATGAAACTTTATCATCAGCCACTGCTTTCTTTTCTCCAATCCACCCAAAGCCACAGCTGTGACAAGGGAATTTCCTTTGGGGTATGTTTGTTTATTGGTTTGTTTCCTAGATCATTGACTGAGAACCAAGGAGAAGTTCTTTATGCAAAGGTCTCTAATTCAGATTTGCAACATGCTTGGACTCCAGACTCAGAGCCCGACAGATACAAATACAGATCACAAAGGATGAAATATAAAATATCTTTCTTTGACCCTTACGATATTTTCCACCATTATATCTATGTTACCCTATGAAATAATCAATTCTGGTCTGGATTTCTCTTATTTTCTTGAGGTGTTTTCTATTTAATTTTAATTGTTCTGTATTCATGTGTAGACATGTTATTGCTGGCCCATATTTGTCTTAATCAAATCTGAACATCTGGCTTTTGGTTGTTGAATTTAACCCATTTAAGATTTTTGTAATTTCTTTTGTGTTAGGACTTATTCTGCCATCTTATTTTTTGTCTTGAATTTACTATATTTTCTTATTTTGTCCCTCCATTTGCTAGATCAGAGTTTCTTTTTGTACTATGAGGGTTATATGGACTATTTTCATGCTCTGTTTCTTATATGTTAATATCATTGCTCATATATTAAAATTTAATCTTCCTTGTTCATTTTTAAGTATATTAACACCTATATCTTTCATCTAAACTAGATAGCCATCTTAGCACACTTTCTTCTCTTTTAGTTTCTCCTCTCCTTTTTATTCACCTTATTCTGTACTCCTCTACCATATTGATGTCATAAGGAATTTTAATACAGATTGTAATGGATATTCTCTCCAGTTCACCTCTACCTCTCCTTGTTTCCCTAGTAGAAAATGCTTGGGAGTGACTAGTTTTTCTGAACTTATCTTCTCCGCCAAAGCTGAGCTGACCTTTAACACTACCCCAATATTATACCCTACTGGTATTAGGCTGTAGTTCTGTTTGTCTGCCTTGCAGTGGAGGTTGGACAGGCAGTGATCTACGTGGGGTAGTGAAAAGAACCCAGCTAGAAAACTCTTCCCAGCCCATCTGGAGTTTCTGGTCTTCTCTGGAAATCTTTTGTCTCTCCTGAGAACATTCTCACAGTTTTTATGTTAATTCCTTAGTTCTGTAAACTCACTTGAGCTTCTGCAGCATCTTTAGGTGTGACTTTGTCAGAGGGAGTCAGAAGCACATGCTAGCTTGTCATTTTTTTTTTTTGGGAAGCTAAATTCTTTATAATATCATTATTATAAGTGTGTATTTAGTGCTAAATATTTTGGAGTTTGCTCACCAGCAGCTTGCAGATATCGAAGTATTTCTTGAAAATCAAGTGGAACATATTATTAACTTTATTTATTTTTTTAATTTTAATCTGCCTAGTTCTGATAGTATCAGCAGTGATGAAGAAGAGCTGAGGACTTTGGGAAGCAGTGGTAGTGAAAGCAGCACTCCAGAGAATGTTGGGCCTCCTTTCATCATGGATGAGAATAGTTGGTTCAACAAGTGTAAGAGAGTTAAACAGAAGTATCAACTAACCCTTGAACAGAAGGTATTTATCAGTTGTCAAAAGCATTCAATTTGGTTCTCATTATTGCCTTTGGACTGTCACTGCCAAAAGATCTTTCAGCTGAATAAAATTATTTACCCATTGCTACTGCCCTTCTGTCCTTGAATTGTCCTTTTCTTAATTAAGACTCAGGCAAAGTTTTAGGAGAAGGTTTTGTTTGTTAAACTTTTTCTAATTTTATATTTTAATATAAAAATAAGCCATTTATTCTTCTATGTGCAGTTTCATTTATATGTTTGAGTTTTAGTTCTTATGATTAATTTTATAAAAGATTATTTGGTTTGTGAAAATGCAGTGATTGCCTAAACAAATTTCATATATGTCTGTCTCTTTTTTTTGAGTATTTTAACAGCTCTGTATGTTAAGCACTGTTCTAGGCAAAGTGGAGTACATAACAAAGAGAAAGGAAAATAAACTCCATTTTCTTTTTTTTATTTTTTGAGGAAGATTAGCCCTGAGCTAACTACTGCCAACCCTCCTCTTTTTGCTGAGGAAGACTGGCCCTGAGCTAACATCCATGCCCATCTTCCTCTACTTTATACATGGAACGCATACCACAGCATGGCTTTTGTCAAGCGGTGCCATGTCTGCACCCAGGATCCGAACCAGCAAACCCCAGGCCTCCAAGAAACAGAACGTGTGAACTTAACCGCTGTGCCACCAGGCCAGCCCTAAACTCCAGTATCTTGAGGAGTTTCTACCTCTTCTTTTTTACTATATTATCTATTTTCCCTTTCAAATTATTGTTATTCATAGATGACCTATATAGGGAAAGCCCATAAAATTAGTGATAGAAATATTAGAACAATAAAAAATACACTGAGGAAAATGGTTACAAAGTAAATTTACAAATATGAATAGATTTCCTAGATGACATAACATTTGTAGTAAAGCTAGAAAGGAAAGCAAAGGGATGATGAACATAATTCTCAGGCTATTGTTATCTTTACAAAGGAGGCAGAGGGGCGTTATCAGGCAAAGGCATAATAGGATCTTTGAAAGTATTGGTAATTAATCTAGGTGGTGGGTACATAATCACTAATGTTTATAAATAGTCATTTATAGTTTATAATAAGCTGTGTGTAAATATGAAACATTTCATTTGTAAAAATTAACTTTGTTTTTAATTTTTAAGATTTTATTATGAAAAAATATTTGAGAATTGTCAGGAAAAAATATGAAAAAGAACCTCCATGAGGGGAGAGCAGTGTTACCACACAAAATTGGGGTTCACTTGCCTGATGCACGTAAAAAAAACAATTAATTATATGGCATCAATCTTTGGGAAAAGAGATCAGCTTTGTTCTGCAAGATCCATCTGCAGGGAGAACAGGGGGTGTGTACCTCAGATCTGTCTCTTTAATTCAGGATTGGGGCAAAATTTAAGAGGTTAGGGATAACAGGCTGGCAAGCAGAAATGCTGGTGGACAGGTTTTGATTGGTGGGCTTCAAGCATTTATGGTAAGATTTTGAACATTTATGACAGGGTTCTAAACATTTAGGTGAGGTTCTAAACTTTTATGATAGGGTTCTAAACATTTTTGATAAGGTGGGGAAGGAATTTTAACACCAGATCTTCCTGAATGAGGGACCCTTCGCTTCTGATAAGAGTCCAACTTTCAAGTTCTGCTCGTGTCCCAGTCCTCGGGTTGCATGGGAAGGAGGATCTTTGATTCCGCAGTCATTTCAGGTCACGATTTCTTCTTTTGCATATGGCTTGTCTACAGATTTTCTGAAAGGCAATTCTTTTTTTGGTGAGAAAGATTGGCCCTGAGCTAACATCTGTTGCCAATCTTCCCCTTTTTTTTGTCCCCAAAAGTCCCAGTACATAGTTGTATATCCTAGTTGTAGGTCATTCTAGTTCTTCTCTGTGGGATGCCACAGCATGGCCTGATCAGCAGTGTGTAGGTCCACATCCAGGATCAGAACCAGCCATCCCTGGGCCACTGAAGCAGAGCACGTGAACTTAACCACTCGATCACAGGGTTCTGGCCCTGAGAAAGGTAATTCTTAATCACTCTGTTGATAAGAGATAGGGTCAGCTGAACTGGCCCTGGAGGGCCTGCAGTTACAGTAGTATTAGCTACTATTAACATGTATCATAAAGCTAAAATAACTAAAACAGTTTGCTAATGACACGTGAATAGGATAACATAATGGAATAGAAGAATGCTTTAAGAAAAAATGATTCTAATTAATATTCTGAGAGGAATTTGAAAGCATATTGAAAAGCATTTTTTGAAAGCATATTGCAACTAAAAAGAATAGGATGCCTTGAGAAGGGAACAATCAGAAAACATGAAAGAGCTATTAGAAATTAAAAATAAGATTTCCTGAATTCAGAAATTCAGTGTAAGGATTTGGAGGATAAATTCAATGAAGTCTCCCAGAAAACAGAGCAAAAGGAATAGTAGATGAGTAAATAGTAAATGAGTAAAGAAAAAGAAATGGTAAATGAGTAAAAAAAGATAGACAGGGGATCAGTCCAAGAAATCTTGTATCTATTAGATGTTTGCTAATAATATTAGCTAGGAATTATACATTGCATACAGTGTACCAGGTACCATTCTAAGCAATTTACTTATATTGATTCATTTAAGCTTCCCAAGTAGGTACACTTACTGTTGTCACTTTTTTAGATGATGAAACTACGGCACAGAGAGATGAACTAACTTGCCCAAGGACTCACAGCTGCTAAGTCGTAGAACACGAATATGACTCTAGGCAATCCCTAAACCTGCAGGCTTAACCAAAACATTATACTGCTTCCCACTAATTTGTTAATGCTAAAAATGTTAATATCTGTTTTTGAAAAATAATCACCTAGAGGCAGATTTTTAATTGGTCATTCTGTAATTAGCTTTGTATTTTGAAGCTAGGAAACATATGGAGTATTTATCACAGTTGTAGAGCTTAGAAGTTATAATATTTTGACTGTTTTACCTTAAATTACAAATATATTTTTAATTTAACTTTAGAGAAGAGCTTTGAATAATGGAGAACGTGTTAAATTTCTGTATTCAGTTAAAACAATTATTTTTTTTACTATTTCATCAGTGATAGTTTGAAATTGTTTCATTACAGTATAGATGAGAATAACATTTAAGCTACACAGCATTTATCTTCAAGTATATATTAGAATTTTGCAGTTTCTATATCTTAGTGATCTGTATTTCCAGGGTTATCTTGAAGAACTCCTACGACTTCGAGAGAATCAGCTGTCTGAATCTGTCTCCCAGAATAAAATACTACTACAAAGGATTGAAGATTCTGATCTGGCCCATAAACTGGAAAAGGAACAATTAGAATATATAATTGTGGAGCTTCAAGATCAGCTGTAAGTGAGATCTTTTTGGAGAAATTTTGGCAGTATGTAAGCATAAGAAAATGTCATATTTTGACATAGGATTCAAATTGCAAGAAATCTCCCTGCTATTAAGTTCTTTTTCACTTACTCTTTTTAAAAAGCTTGCTATTGCTTTTCTTATTATAAAAGTAATCCATGTTCCCTGTAGAAACATTACAAAATATAGGAAGAAAATAAAAATCACCTTCAGTTGTGCTACCCAGAGTTAATGGCCATAACTTGGTGTATATTCTTCCAAATGTATATGCCTAATTTCAAAAGTATTTAATTAGTTATTGATTGACTGATTGATTAATTGATTGCAAAAAGATGGGATCCAAGACCAGAACTACTCAGAGTGCTGCACTGGTGCATAACCCGTTTGTTACTGGGTTGTGCCAGAATATCACTAAGTGCAGTTTAGTAGAGCTGGCTTTTCCATAGCAAGACTTTTTTTGATGAAGCAAGCTGTGTATTGATCTACATTCTGGTACAAGCTTCTTAACTTGTCACTATTCAAAGCACTTGTACTAATCATAGCATTTTGTCAAACTTGATTTTATCAATTGTTTACGGTGAAACTCTTCTCATATTAATATTTACTTAAAGGATGACTTTTAAATTTTTTATTTTGAAATAATTTCAAATTTTCAGAAAACTTGCAAGAATAGTACAAAATAATTCCTATATGCCCCTTCCTAGATTCACACTAATTTTCAACTTTTTGCCACATTTGTCATAATTCTCTCCCTCTCCCTGTGTATATATGCTTGGTTTTTTTTTTTAAAGATTGGCACCTGAGCTAACATCTGTTGCCAGTCTTCTTTTTTTTTTATTCTCCCTAAAGGCCCCCCAGTACACAGTTGTATATTCTAGTCGTAAGTCCTTCTGGTTCTGCTGTGTGGGACACCGCCTCAGCATGGCTTGATGAGTGGTCTAGGTCTGTGACCAGGATCTGAACCGGCAAAACCCTGGCCTGCCAAAGCAGAGCATGTGAACTTAACCACTGGGCCACGGGGCTGGCCCCACATAGTATTTTTTGAACCACCTGAGAGGCTGCATTCATTGTACCTCTTTACCCCTTAATACTTCAGTGTGTCCTTCCTAAAAACAAAGACATTCTCTTATACAACTATAGTTCAGCTTTCAATTTAAGAAATCTAAATCGATACATTTTCATCTAATCTATAATTCATATTTCACTGTCATCAATCATCCAAAAAATGTCCCTTATTGCAACTTTTGTTTTCCTGATACAGGATCCAATCCAGGATCATGTTTTGCATTTGGTTGTCAGTCTCTTCCGTCACTTTTAACTTAGAATAGTTTTTCGTTGTTTGTCTCACATGACATATTTCTGACGAATACAGGCTATAGAATGTCCTCAATTTGAATTTGTTTGCTTTTCCTTGTGATTACAATGAGTTTATCCATTTGTAGCGGAAATACGACATACATAGTGTGTCCTCAGGATATCACATCCGGAGGTCTTTGAAGTCTCTTGGCATTTTATTAGTGATATTAATTTTAATCATTTGGTTAAAGTGTTTTTCTCTTCTGTATAGTTACTGTTGTTCCTTTTGTAATTAACATGTAATTTGCAAGGAGATACTTTGAGACTAAATAAATATAAAAGATAATTTTTTAAGTAAAATGTTTTATTAAGGAATATAAAAATGTAATATTTTGGGGGGAATTTGCATCTTGATGAAAAGAATTATGTTCATATATTGTTTCTTATATTTTTTCTAATATTTTAAAGAGAGTTTGTCCTATATGGGGTATCACTCATTGAGGGGTAAGATAACATCTCCCATAGTCCCTTGCTTCTGTAAGCAGGGAGAAAAATATCAAAAGCCAAACAGTAGAGACTGCTGGGTATTTCTTTACAATTAAAAGATTAACAAGATAATTTAATTTTTCTTTTGCCAATAATACTGGTAGTTTGTCTAAATGCTGTTAACTTAAAAATAATTATGAAATCAGTTATTTCATCAAAGAGATTTTCATTTGAAGAATTAAATTTGAATGTATTGCATTTATTTTACTTTTTTTTTTTATTAATGTTATGATAGATTACAACCTTGTGAGATTTCAGTTGTACATTTTTGTTAGTCATGTTGTGGGTACACCACTTCCCCCTCTGTGCCCTCCACCCACCCCCCCTTTTCCCTGGTAACCACCGATCAGATCTCCTTATCAGTATACTAATTTCCACCTATGAGTGGAGTCATATAGAGTTCGTCTTTCTCTGACTGGCTTATTTCGCTTAACATAATACCCTCGAGGTCCATCCACGTTGTTGTGAATGGGCCGATTTTGTCTTTTTTTATGGCTGAGTAGTATTCCATTGTGTATATATACCACATCTTCTTTATCCAATCATCAGTTTCTGGGCATGTAGGCTGGTTCCACGTCTTGGCTATTGTAAATAATGCTGCGATGAACATAGGGGTGCAACGGACTCTTGAGATTTCTGATATCAGGTTCTTAGGATAGATACCCAGTAATGGGATGGCTGGGTCATAGGGTATTTCTATTTTTAACTTTTTGAGAAATCTCCATACTGTTTTCCATAGTGGCTGTACCAGTTTGCATTCCCACCAACAGTGTATGAGGGTTCCTTTTTCTCCACAACCTCTCCAACATTTGTCACTCTTGGTTTTGGATGTTTTTGCCGATCTAACGGGTGTAAGGTGATATCTTAGTGTAGTTTTGATTTGCATTTCCCTGATGATTAGCGATGATGAACATCTTTTCATGTGTCTATTGGCCATATTCATATCTTCTTTTGAGAAATGTCTGTTCATGTCCTCTGCCCATTTTTTGATCGGGTTGTTTGTTTTTTTGTTGTTAAGCAGTGTGAGTTCTTTGTATATTATGGAGATTAACCCTTTGTCGGATAAGTGGCTTGTAAATATTTTTTCCCAATTAGTGAGCTGTTTTTTTGTTTCAATCCTGTTTTCCCTTGCCTTGAAGAAGCTCTTTAGTCTGATGAAGTCCCATTTGTTTATTCTTTCTATTGTTTCCATCAGCTGAGGAGTTACAGTGTCCGAAAAGATTCTTTTGAAACTGATGTCAAAGAGTGTACTGCCTATATTCTCTTCCAAAAGACTTATTGTCTCAGGCCTAATCTTTAGGTCTTTGATCCATTTTGAGTTTATTTTGGTGTGTGGTGAAAAAGACTGGTCAATTTTCAATCTTTTGCATGTGGCTGTCCAGTTTTCCCAGCACCATTTGTTGAAGAGACTTTCTTTTCTCCATTGTAGGCCCTGTGCTCCTTTGTCGAAGATTAGCTGTCCATAGATGTGTGGTTTTATCTCTGGGCTTTCAATTCTGTTCCATTGATCTGTGGACCTGTTTTTGTACCAGTACCATGCTGTTTTGATCACTGTAGCTTTGTAGTATGTTTTGAAATCAGGGATTGTGATTCCGCCGGCTTTGTTTTTCTTGCTCAGGATTGCTTTAGCAATTCGCGGTCTTTTGTTGCCCCATATGAATTTTAGGATTGTTTGTTCAATTTCTGTGAAGAATGTTCTTGGGATTCTGATTGGGATAGCATTGAATCTGTATATTGCTTTAGGTAGTATGGACATTTTAACAATGTTTATTCTTCCAATCCATGTGCAAGGAATGTCTTTCCATCTCTTTATGTCATCGCCAATTTCTTTCAAGAAAGTCTTGTAGTTTTCATTGTATAGATCCTTCACTTCCTTGGTTAAGTTTATCCCAAGGTATTTTATTCTTTTCATTGCGATTGTGAATGGGATTGAGTTCTTGAGTTCTTTTTCTGTTAGTTCATTGTTGGTGTATAGAAATGCTACTGATTTATGCACGTTAATTTTATACCCTGCTACTTTGCTGTAGTTGTTGATTATTTCTAATAGTTTTTCTGTGGATTCTTTGGGGTTTTCTATATATAAGATCATGTCGTCTGCAAACAACGAGAGTTTTACTTCTTCGTTACCTATTTGGATTCCTTTTATTTCTTTTTCCTGCCGAATTGCTCTGGCCAGCACCTCCAGTACTATGTTGAATAGGAGTGGTGAAGGTGGGCACCCTTGTCTTGTTCCTGTCCTCAGAGGGATGGCTTTCAGTTTTTGTCCATTGAGTATGATGTTGGCTGTGGGTCTATCATATATGGCCTTTATTATGTTGAGGTACTTTCCTTCTATACCCATTTTACTGAGGGTTTTTATCATAAATGGGTGTTGGATCTTGTCGAATGCTTTCTCTGCATCTATTGAGATGATCATGTGGTTTTTGTTTTTCATTTTGTTGATGTAGTGTATCACGTTGATTGACTTGCGGATGTTGAACCATCCCTGTGTCTCTGGTATAAATCCCACTTGATCATGGTGTATAATCTTTTTGATGTATTGCTGTAATTGGTTTGCCAAAATTTTGTTGAGGATTTTTGCATCTATGTTCATCAGTGATATCGGCCTGTAGTTCTCCTTCTTTGTGTTGTCCTTGTCAGGTTTGGGGATCAGAGTGATGTTGGCTTCATAGAATGTGTTAGGGAGTTCTCCATCTTTCTCAATTTTCTGGAACAGTTTGAGGAGAATAGGTATTAAGTCTTCTTTGAATGTTTGGTAGACTTCTCCAGAGAAGCCGTCTGGTCCTGGACTCTTATTTTTGGGGAGGTTTTTGATTACCGTTTCTCTTTCCTTACTTGTGATTGGCCTATTCAGATTCTCCATTTCTTCCTGATTCAGTTTGGGGAGATTGTAGGACTCTAGGAATTTGTCCATTTCTTCCAGATTGTTCAATTTGTTGGCATATAGTTTTTCATAGTATTCTCTTATGATCTCTTGTATTTCATTGGTATCTGTTGTGATTTCTCCTCTGTCATTCCTGATTTTATTAATTTGCGATTTCTCTCTTCTTTTCTTGGTGAGTCTGGCTAGGGGTTTGTCAATTTTGTTAATTCTTTCGAAGAACCAACTCTTTGTTTCATTGATCCTTTCTATTGTCTTTTTTGTTTCAAT